TTTTGTTTTCTCGCGGCGTCGTATGTGCCGGGTTTTGAGACCACGGGCTCCCCATTTTTTGTGGACTATAGAGCTAATGTGAGAAACAACAACAACAACAACAACAACAACAACAACAACAACAACAACAATGTACCGATCAAAACTACCGAGCCCGACAGTATGAAAATTGTACTGTAGGTAACAACACAGCAGCAGCACAACACACCACACGAAGCGTCGCGCATGTACTGGAGGAAGAGCAGGGGCAACAGGGTAACAGCAAGGCAACTAACGTCATACAACACCCACCGCTTACAGCAGCACAGCAGTCCTGACTCACTCAACAAGGAAACAAATCACGGTTGGTTCCGAGCAAGGCAGCAAAAAAACTAACAACCGTAGCTGGCCGGTCCCTGATGGGTGAAAAACAAGCGGAAGCAGCAACCGCTGCCCGAGAGCGGATGCATACTGCTATCAGGGAGAGAACTCAGCTCCTCCAGATACGCCCCTATAGAGACGCAGGTCGCACATATGAGCTCGCACACATGCGGCTCGCACACATGATCGCGCCACACGACTTCCACAACGTGAACTGAAACCTGTCAGCCCGTTATTTCGCGGACCGACCCCTCCTGCTTGCTACGTGGAATGACTAGACTATTTATCGCGAAGAGGACCCATGCTGTCTGTTCAAGGGCCACACAACAGGGCGAAGCATATAACGATGCTTCTTGTCCGCTGTAGCGGGCGGAAGCTGCTGAAACTCGGGGAGGCGTCATGATTTGCGATGCCCTACCGAGTCATCCCTCGGATGTCGCACATCGTGCGCTGTAGCTCGAGATCGGCCTTTGAGGCCCGGTCCGGCAAGGGGTGGGCGATGCCGTCGTTGCCAAGCGNACCTGGTTGCCGAGTTCACGAAGTGAATTGTCTTGTTCTACAACGTCTTTGCCAAGCGACGAAAACCCAATCCCGATGACAAACACCGAGGGGGGCGGCTTGTTTAATACCGTCGTTGCCAAGCGACGACAACCCAACCCCGATGGCAAACACCGGGGGGTGTACTCAAAGTCGTGCATGCCGTAGTCGTTAGACCATTGACCTCGCATCCCTACAAAGCCGGGACGGAGCACGCCGGGTTCTCACCGGACCAGGCTCTCACATCACCAAGCGCGAAGCGCCGTGAGATGTTCGGCGAGTCGCATGAAGGGTGCGCTGCATCCTGCTATGGGTGTTCGGCATCTTGTGCTTACTTCCTTGCGTACGGATTGACAGCTGCGTATGACTTAACATATTTTCTGGTGCTTTCACTTCCAGAGACAGTTAAAAGCGCTGGGTAACTGCCTCGAGGGTGCTTGACCATTTTGCACAACGTGGTGCGATCATTCCCCTTGCGCAGAATGAGGCTTCTCCACCCCGCACAACATGATCCACTCGACCACCATTGTGGTTACCGCCAGAAAAAAAAGGGGTAAAAAACAAACGTAACCTGGTTGCCGAGCTCACGAAGTGACTTGGCTTGTTTTACAACGTCGTTGCCAAGCGACGAAAACCCAACCCCGATGGAAAACACCGATGGGGGGGCTTGTTTTACAACGTCGTTGCCAAACGACGAAAACCCAACCCCGATGGCAAACACCGGGGAGCTGTGTGGCGGCAGTGGGGGGAGTTAGAACATGGAGGTGGCTCCTTGTGGAGACGTGATGCACATACATGCCGTGTAGACGACGCCAAACGGGGTGCGCAAGAAGACTCATGAGAAAAATATCCCGTGCCAGCAGCACAGACCCTAAGCTCGATCCCTGGGTGCACCACTTGCACCTTACTTAAAGACCCCCTGGGCATCCCCGGCGAGCCCTGGGAATTTGGGATGCCTTCTGGGTTACCCTAACCTTAGATACAAGTGCCGGTGTTTCTAGCCGCCATTTTGTTTCTTCGCCCCACATCTATGATCATGTGCGTTTCGGATTCGTAGAAAAGTAAACAGTCTATGCACAGTCTAGTGATATATCGTTTGACGGATGATGTGGACTCCGCTCTAGAAGCAAAGCGATTCGGTACTGCTCAACGATCCTGACAAAAATGTTAATACCGTCAGGCATTGGCAATGGGTAAGACGCTCATGGCCCAGCCTGATCCTACACGCTTAACAGGCCAACCACAGCATAGGCGCGTCGGCACCCTCGAAAAAGCCCTTGCCCAACAGTGAAGAAAGAACAAGGTGAGACAAACAAAATCTTGAGTAGCTGACACGAGCTGTCGAAAACTCCAGTCGAACACAACCAGGACCCAACCTATCGAACGTCTAGTGTACGTGGGATCACCGACCGCACCCGCATGACAGCTTCGCGTGTAGCCACCAAAGCAACGGATATACCATGCAGCAACGAGAGGGTTTATGCAGGGAGGGACAAGGCCGTGACAACGTACAACAGGCCATTGTCGAGAACACATCCAAACATCCCCGTTCTACGCGGTGGTGTACAAACGCCACCGTTGTGCCACCCCGATATCCCTCCACCTGGCACTGCCACAAGACTTTGAACTCCCCGTTCACGATCGCTCCCTTTTCCCCCTGCCGCAACTGAACTGCAGGCAGCGGCTTGCCTAGAGTAATCACCCGCCTGCAATCCTTTGATAAACGGCATCGCCTTGCCACGTCCAACATGACGTTCTCATCAAAATTGCAAGAGGCGGCGTAGACGAGAGTTGCATCGTCCCAGCGTGCCTCAGCGACGTCGCCCTCAAGCAGGTCGATGTTCGAAGGAGGCGTTAGGCTCAACTTTGGACCTTCCTGCTCATCTGAGCCACTGGCGACTGCGGGAGTGCCGCCCGAGTATGCGGGAAAAAGAGTGTGCGCTTCGTCGATGCCTCCCTACACAGAGACGGCAGCAAAAAATCAGGGAGACCGGTGGACAACGCCTATTGGCGACGCATATTGCCATCATTCCAAGTGTTGCAATGCGGTAAGATACAATGGTTCACTGATTTCATACTGGGCAGTGTCCTCGAGGTGCAAGGTTCCGGCAGTGCGGAGTGCACTACACGCACAGTCCCAATCAAGGGCGGGCAGCAGCAAACCAAAGAACGACAGACGGACCGATCCGCGGGGCAATCTCAAACATACCTCCGCTGTGCATATCCCTTGGATCAGGCGCAGATTGTAGAGCAGAGCTGCCGTCAAGGCGCACACTCCTGCGCCGTACCCGAGCACCAATAGTCGGTCATCCGGTGAAGGACGAGGCTCGAGGAAAAAGAGAAGCTTCGCAAAGGAGCGGAAATGCACCTAAATTAAACAAGAATGCGGAAGGCTATATTGCAATTGCATCGACGACGGAAACCGATGAAACGATGTCAGTGCCAGCGGGAAATACAAAGGTCCATGGAAGGGGGCCGAAAATCGAAAAACGAGCGACGCTCGAGACGCGACAGCCAAAATGAAACTCTCTGACACTCCCTCTTCGGATGACACACACTAAAAGCCTGGCAGATACCCCCGCCCGAACCTAGGGAAGCCATTGCTGATGAAAACATCCGAGAACAGGAAACAAAGGAATTCTTTCAAGCCCAGCTCAAGCCAAGGTATCGTTGTACAGGATACATCTCCCAATGCGATATCCGCAAACTCCCCAATTCCAGCAGTCATCGAATGAGCAGCCAGAAGAGTCAAAGAAAGAGCAACACACACACTGAAAATATCATTGCTTCACACATGCCCTCGTCCGAACATGCGTCTGTGTTTTGGTCCCATGTACTCTTCTTACCAATCTACGTCTTTCGGCACGAAGGGTTAGTTCTTCTCCACCTTTCTCGCTGCCATTCTTCCCTCCAACAGTCAATGTGAGAGCCGCTCAACAGTTCCTTCTCCGTATTTATATGTACTCACGACGTGATTTCCACTCCCAAATTGTTCACGTTTCACTCCGGAGAGAATCGAACCCACAATCTGAGCGCCAGAAGGTTACCACCTGAAACGTCGGCGTGACCGGTCGTAACTCACGCTCCGTTTTACAAACTGCTCTCCATCATCAAATTTTTGCGAATATTCTCCACTTTCAAAACGAAAACATAAAACAACGTTTCGTGGTCTCGGCAAGTCCCAAAGAGCTCATACCAATAGCAGCTCTATTTGGCGCTTTCCCTTGCTTGAGATTTTGTGTTTTATTTTGAGGCAAGGCCATGGTTCCGATGTGATAAATCAGCGCGACGAGTATTGTCGGCATTGCCTGTCTGATGCTGAGTTGTTTTTGAGCGGGTTTAATTCGTTGTTGACAGATCACGACCCGACGGCGGATGGAAACAAAAAGGGAAACTACGGATGCTTGTGGAACAACTGCGGACTAGAAAATCTCATTGCTAATCAACCGCGAACTCTTGTCTGTGGAAGAGAAGGGTGTGGTGCTAGAGAGATTCGCCGGTCACCATTCGTTGTTTGGTCTCATTGTAGACAGTCGTCCCGATCGCTGCTCAGTCAGTCAGTCACACAACTTCTAACCGTCGCTACAGGCCAAGTACCCAAGGAAACATATCGCTAAAAAATACATTTGCTGTGCAAAAAAGTACATACCTCAAAAGGCATAAAAAACTATCCAACAAAGTGGAACATCTTCTGTGGTATTGACAACGCCGCTTTGGTTCTGATGTACATTTGATATTTCACAATTGTGTTGACATTAACTTTCACAGCGAATGGATCCATTCATCTAAATCCCTCGATGAGATTCAACTTTTTTTAAACGTGCCATTCAACAAGATGACAAAAAAAATGAGCGACGGAAATCAGCGCGCACGGTCGTACATGGCTGCACACTTGTGACGTACGCTACTGCATCCGGAAGTCCATCAAACTTGGCGACTGGCCATGATTTCGGACGCCGTATCGAGGCATACTCGAGATGTCACCAGCCGTGCGCCACGGGATCGGCTTTTGAGACACGGTCGGGTAAGGGTGGGGGAATCGGAATGCGAGGGTCGGCCATTTTGCGACAAAGATGGATTTAGGTGGAGAGGCTAAAGCCTACAGCTTCAGAATGGTGATAACCCAACTAGGCTCATCAGCGAAGGATGGGGAAAGACTAGAGTAAGTGCCTCTCGGGAAAGACATGGTCCAAGAAGCTTCGTTGCAGCATTTTACTTCGACGAATGGCGGCATATGTGTCAAACTTCACTGCACTCGGTCGAAAGCGAATGTGCGAACCCATTGCCTTGCGTGACGGAGGGTGAGCGTCCAAACGAGGACGGCAACAAATCGTGCGCAGAGCACTAGTCAATGAAAATTGATTTTAGTATACGTCTCGGGACGTCCACACCTGTGCAATGGGTCCATCCTTGCTTGCGCTCTTGGATTTCGTCGCTGCAACTATGAAGCTCAAGTCGTTCTCGGCCTTGCGAACCCTTGCATCTTCTATGGCCCAATCTCTGGTTGGGCCATCTGTTGCGGCTCGAGCATTCTCCCTTCTTGGCGCACTGGCTGCCGTTGCGGTGAAGATCTGAAGAGCCATACGTTCGCCCAGTTCTACCTGCACGTATTCGCGAGGCACAAGATAAATTTGTCAGGGAACATGTTAGTTCAAGCTCGCGCACGGCGTGTCCTGGCATAGGGGAGCAGCCGGAACCGCAGCTTCAAGGCGCTGTCTTTCCCATAGGAAGCACGGAGCATCGACGCATGTGTCACTTTTTTCGTCAGCCGAAACTGCAGTGTATCCCCTCGGATTGAGGGTGAACGTGGGTGAAGCCGCCATTTTTCCATGAACGGCCGGACAACGATCCAGGAGCAAGAGCAACAACGACCATTCCTGTAAGTGTGCACCACTATATGAGTTGGCATTGGGAGTCACACGGGGCAGAAGTGAAACTGAGGATACGCGTACTCCCGATTTTCAACGCCTGTGTCGGACTCACCTGTGCTTTGGTCACCAAATGCAATCCATCAGGAAACATGGGTAGGCCAAAGGTATCCGTAACCCATACGCCAGCGATTCCCGTCGAAGAACCCGCAAAGAGTTGCGCATCTCGAACCTATTAGACAGGAACGATACCAAAAGGACACAAATCGGGACATCAGGAAAGAAGACAAGTGAAAATAACAATCGCTCGTCTCTCTGCGGCACACAGCAGTACACAGCAGAGTGCCGCGCCAAATACAGATTCACACCGCTGTCAGTTGAGGGTTTATATGACTTGGGTTCCAAAAAGTCACGCTGGAGTTAAGGTTCATTTTTTGGCAGGGCTGGAGTATGCTACGGCGTTGATATTGGCGTAGAGTACAGGTGGAACGACACCGAGCATCTTGATGCTGGCGAATTGTTGGTTTTCTAATAGAGGACTGGACAGACAAGAAACGGTCCTGGGAAAAGGTTAAGGAAAGCACGATTTGTCAGCAATGGTTTTGTTGGAGTATTTAAGGTAGGAATGGGAGGCCCTCGAGTGAAAGCGTGTACAAATGAGAAGCCTGGATCCCTGCCTGGATCCTTTCCTCCTGAGTGGTTGGCACGGCTCATTGACTCAATTTACGATTGTGGAACTACGGAAACCATCAACTTCAACACAACATATTTGGGGCAAAGCGCATCGACACCCTTGACACGTCACGGTGGTGAAAGAGTTATGTTTGATATGTGAAGAGACGATAGTATGGATTTTTTTTTTAAAGAACTATCGGATCTCAAGAACAATTAATTTTCAGTGTAAAGTCGGAACGGTTTAAAGAATGTTCTCTTTGATGGCGATAAAAGATTCTCCGCCGGTTCCCTCAACACATTTAGTGACGGAATTGTCTGGCGTAAACCCGGATAGACTGGTTCAGATCCGTCTTCGGGTGGTACGGAACCCAAGTTCTCGAAACGAGGTGTACTCGCACACACGGCGCTAGCCCGTGTGGCCCCAATCCCACACACCCCACGCACCGTCCCGCACCGCGTTAGAGAGAGCGACAGACAGACAAAGAAAGACAGAGACTGAGACAGAGACGGAGAGAGAGAGAGAGAGAGCACGAACCTTATGGACGGTGGCCGCACATCGTTGTTGCACATGGCTGAATTTGAAAAAATACGGGGGTGTTCACTGTGTAGGGTACACTCCCGAATGTTGTAGAAACTCAAACATGCGCACAGAGTAAGTAGCGGCCCTCGGTTCCATGTGCTCGATTCAACATCTCACAGCACAGACAGTAGTAGCAGGCGTGATGTTCGCGTTTGGCTTGTGCATCACTAGCAAGTTAGCTCGCATGTGGTGTGGCCACGTCACAGCAGCAACTGGCAACTGCCAAAAGGCGGGTCGTTGGGTTGTCGCGCTGCTTCACAGGTTCTCTGCTCATTTTTCATCTCTGTTGCTAAGACACATGGGGCAATTTGAGTTCAGATTTGGACAGACACGACGACTCAGTTCATGAAGTAGGGTATGAATTGGGATTCGAGTCCTTCAAAAAGACAGTGCTACAACACGAGGCAAACGATCTTCGCAAAGACGAAGAGTACAACACAGTGCGGATAGCTGTCTCAAGCAGTGCAGGTGAAGTAATCAAATCGTCAGCAACGCCAGACAAGGGCGCACCTGTTGGAGGAATGGAAGTCGGGCTGTCGTGCCGGTGACAGCAACCGTGAAAATGTTCAGATCCGGATATCCCAAGCCCCTGACGTCCTCGATCAGCGTCTGAAAGCGATCGCCGTACGTTTCAGCACGGTCCTCGTTCGCCGCATCTGTTTCACCCTGCCGTCATCGAAAGCCAGCAGAAACAAAAACAATCACGAGCCAAGCGAGAATACTCTAGAAGAAATGCCAAGAACACGGGAATACGGGCGCGAATACGCACACGATGTAGTAATCGGAGACTCTCCAAATCCCGGCTTGCGTGGTCCGCGCGAATTGCTTCAGCAAAATATCAATAGAACCGTACTCAATCTGAAGTCTTAGAAAGTACCGCGCGTTCAACCACGTGTCCATCGATAGTTTCAGGGTTGAAGTCGGTGCTACAAGTGCAAGCAGCATGACGCAACATATCTTGTGTTCAAGGATTTGGATATCATCATGGGGCGGGTGGATCTGCTGTTGCCCCACGTAAGCGAATAACCCGGGATCCACGCGATTACACTCTAGCTTTCTTTGACTGGCTTTCACCCTACTGTCATCGAAAGTACATTTTCAGTTTGAATTAGTTGTTGAGATAGCCCGGGCAATGTGTCTCGTGCTATTGAGTGGTCACCACGCAAGCGAGCGAAGCAGAAAAAGCTAAAACCGACGTGGTTTCGAGGGAATCCAAGAGAGAGAATACCCATGTCCGACACATGCTACATACATGCAATGGCCGGGTGCGTACCGCTAAGCCCAATATCATCACAACTGACTGGCATCGCGAGCAACAATACGAACCTGCAAGCCGGCACGTCATGCAATACGTGATTCTCGGCAAGCCGTCAACTCCCCGGGAGAATAGTTTTCGTGGTACGCTGACACACCAACGCCCGTTCTCGGAAACACGCGACCTAGCCGACACGGGTCGCGTCTTCACTGATGAGGACCACATTTTTGTTTTAGTGCAGCAACGTACAACGACCTCAAAGCCCATTTGTGCAGCATCTTCTTCAATGCGACCGTCGTCAGAACGACTAGCCCATCTATTGAAAGGCATGCCAAAAAGAATGCAGTATCCAGATTTCCATGCGCCCTTGGCTGATGCAAACCTGCCACGGCAACACCTTGTGCTGTTGCAGGAGTTCCCGCACCCTCGCTCTACTAGAGAACTTCTATTGGTGGCTCGGCATGAGCGTTTGCACTCGCTGCTGCCACTCGTCATTGTCTCACGTGTCAAGTTCGAAGAACATCGCATCAGACCGTGCGCTGGCCCATCCTTTCCATACCTCTTCCCGCTGGACCAGGCGTGCCGCCGTGAGGCAACGCCTACACTCTACTGTTCATTCATCGCTTCAGCCGTCGGGCCAACATGTGTGCCGTGTTTGATGCCAACTTCAGATCGAAAGGCACCGCAGATATGCCAGCCTACAAACGCATTCCTCGTTAGTGTTGTCCCGAAACGTCCTCTCTGATGGCGTGCTATAGTGTTGCTCCCAACTCCCCATGGTCACCTACAAACCACATTACGATCGCAAAGTCGCGACGAGGGCCTACCATGTAACGGTAACTGTGGCCTTCAACGTGTGAGCCATATCATCGCATAGATGTTATCCATGGTGGGAAAAGGGCAACAAAAACGAGAAGATTGGAAGCTTCAGATTCCCCACGTTTAACTCGCCTGGAAATTCGTTCAGAACTACTGTTGGACTCGCATCGAGCCACGTTCGCATCAACAGGATGCGCGTTTCCCACAATTCAAAACCTTTCGACAGGGTATATGTTAGCGGCCAATGCTTAGCACGCGACCAGCTGGAACACTGCAACCTCGCTGCGGATCGTCACCGTCCGTCCCTCGACCTCGCACGCCCACAGACATTTATTAATGGTTCTCACTTTGAGCGCCTCAGCTCCCACAACCGCACTCTTGCACACTGGCGGTCTACGCAATCAACAACTGGGGTGTACAAGTCAGCATCTACATTGTCAAGGTGCCAAAACCGGAGCTGCTGCAGATGGCGATGCACATGTCCTAACCCTAACCCTAAAAGTGAAACCCTCTCTCAATTGGACAAGCTCCTTCAACTACAGGCTATGGGCTCTGCGAAAAGGACCCGAACAATCACTACAGCTGACAAGCTGCTATTCCTCGATCTTCCCTCCGGCATGCCTTGCGCCGATCCCAACTGCCACGTCTCTGTCGCCCGCTACCAACCGTGTTCCAGCTCTCGCAACAATGACGGTATGCCACGCTTCCTGCCCGCCGGACTGACATAACACGACTGCCGCACACACCTCCAAACCTCCTTCTCTCCGAGTTACGGAAGATTCATGTTCCCGTACAACGAATGCACGTGGAGAAAATTGCTGGAAACCCCGTGGCCGCGGTGCTACCATCGCCGTGGTGTGTGACACAATCGAAAGGACTGCTGCGCCTATGCTGGGCGCGTGAGACGGACCTGCACCACTCTCGTCAATTTGTTATCTCTAGTGGTCAGGAGCTACCCACCAGTGCCTCCAAACGAAATTCCTCTAGCGCAAGATGCGAATCGGCGCTGCAGCGCGCAAGCTCGTTGCTGCTAAAGCAGAGCGTTCATCTTATCCGGGATATCACTACGTACCACGCGAGGTTTGGTCCGCAAATCCCGCGAATCTGCACTTCCCGTAGGTACAAGGCCCGAGATGCACGATGTGGCCGCGTGCGTCCCATATTGCCCAATACCATCACAGCAGTCTGAGAAAGTCCTTCTGCTTACCTGGTACCAGAGCATGCCACCAAGATGGCTACCTTCCGGCGCCGCCTTCAATGCTTCGTCGACCCTCGCCGACATAGCTCCGAACAAATTTTTTGAGCCTGGTTTATACCCCCAAGGCTGGTTTCCCTGCACCCCACCGTGTCGTGCAGGTAGCTCACAATCACCTACTTTGCCTGTGGATGGCCAAACAAGCGACAGTATCGTGACTAGCAAGAAAAATAGGGGCAGAGACCGGCTAACTTACTGCGCTGGGACAGCAACATATCGCGGTCTGGTAGATCACGATACATCGGAACGGAAGCATTCTCAAACAACATATGTTGGACGAGGTCGAGTCTTGATTAATTATCCACGGTTTGTACGAAACATCTTGTGGTGCCACGCCTGTTTATATATGTTTACGCCCTTCAGATTGTGGACGATGCAAGCCCTACCTCACCCCGAGTCCATTGACCTGGCCTCATGTTTGAAGGCGGGCTAACCGGTGGTGAACAAATTGTTGCAACCACAACCTGCTGGGCAGGAAATACTACAGCCGCTCCTGCGTCAAGATTTCGTACGAGTCGAGTTTGTTCGCTTGCTACGGGACAAACCAGTGAACCAACTTCGCGCAGAAGTTCTACGGGGGTCCCACCTTCGTAATTTTTCTGCCATTCATCTAGCGATGCACCCCCAATGGCGCACGGCACGAGCCCGATAGTTGGGCTCTGAGGAGACCGCGACGAATAGGCCTTCCGGAGCTCGAGCAAAGCACATGCGCAAACCTTTGGGGAGAGTGAGGTGAAGAAGGGGGATGAGAGGCGAAGGCATTCGATTGATGCCATTCTACCCGATAGTCGACATCTACAACGCAAGCAAAACTAAATGTTCTGGTGGTAACGTTCAGCGCCAACTCACATCTACATACCTTCGAAAGGTCTGCGGGCTACATGGTCCACAACAAGGAGTCTCACGTTGTTGTTCGCTGCTTCTAACGCTGTTGTTGCCACAGCTGCTGCTACAACGACCATGAAAAAACAACACAGCGCTCGACTGGATCATACCTTTCCAATGGTTTCGCACTATTTCACGGTATCTTTACCTACATTTTAACCGCATTCACGCCAGCTCGTTTCTTTCGGCGGTTGCTGGTAGCGCACATAAGGTTGGATCCTCACCAGGGACGGGCCAACTCCACAGCGGTGTTGTTTGCGAAGATCTATGTCTCGATGTAGTGGCTCGACCGCTGGTCCCCAGTCCCCTCTCGCGTTGAAGCACATCACTGCATGGTGTCGAACGGTATTTAGCGATGAGCAAATGCGTGATCATTTCTGCATACAAATAGCTGGTATCCGAGGCAGACACAAGGCGAAACACTCGTAACCGTCCAACGCCAAGGTTCTGGGTGGAAGAGGGATGTCTGCCTCGCTGGTGACACACCCGACAAAGAACTCCAAGCCATTGTAGTAGAAGAGAGTGGAGAAAGTGCTGACCAGGCCACAATGTACTCATGTTCTTGCATAGAGTTCGTTGTAATGTGCTTTGAGTAAGTTTGCTGGTGTATGCTGGGTAACGTCCTCCTCATCTTCCCGGGCGTGGCGTAGGGTTCATCTGGTCGGCAAAAACTACTGAGTACAGCACAGTGTGCGGAGAATGACAATGCCCCGATTCCGCCTGGGTGCGAGGATAGATTTTTCAAGGTCCACGTTTGTTGTAGTATTTCTCAAGTACTGTTGTTTGTGACGCAGTTACTAGTGAAGCACTGCGTTCCATTTTCTTTCTGTAGGGAGGGACTGTCCTTGCTCTAGGTGGTATGATTTCGTGACGATAGAGTTGTGCCGCCGTATTCGACACAAGATCGTCTTCGATAATCGACAAAGCCGTTGTTGACGATTGCGAATATTAACGAAGAGCCAAAAATCAAAATCCAAATGGGCACAAACTCAACATCAAAACGCGTTATCGTGGAAAACTGAAAAAGGGGGTCGACCATGTTAACGTGGATACGAGACAGATGGGCCGAAAAATAAAAAAAGACCTGGTGCCAGGGGAAGAGCCAGCAGCGAAGCGGTGATTTTTCTAGGGTAGGTGTTGCGCTCTCCTGTTCACGTGTTAGCCGATATTTCGCCAAATAAAGAACGACTTGCCTCAAGACCGATGTCCGGAAGGAGTTGGTACCATGGGCTGTTGGGCAATGCCAAGCTTTGGCGCGGTGAGGTGCCGGATGCGCCGGAAAAAAAAAGGTCGTGTTGAAGCGAACATGCCAACGGTTGCGAGCGGTCACTTCAAGTTCGGTGTGTTGGGCCGCCACAGTTTTGATTATCCACCGATAACTTTCCGAAGGAGGAAGCAACAACAAGAGCAATACCACGCGGCGGGAGGTACCTCTCTGCTCCATCGTTCAAGCCCAAGGTCTGCTACGGTGGGGTATCGTGCGTATATGGAAAAAGCTTTGGTTGACCCTAAAATATCCACGTCAGAGAGCGGTTACTTCAAGTTCGCGCCGATTGTCTGCTCACAGCTTAGTTTGCCAGCGATAACTTTGCGAAGGAGGAAGCAACAGCATTAGCAATGCCACGCGACGGGAGGTAGCTCTACCCACCATCTTTCTCGTACAAGGTTAGATGCATTGAGGTATCGTGAGTGTGGAGAAAAAAGGCTGCAATTACCCTCTCCCGCACGGAACAGCTCGAAAAAGTCGCGCAGCTCTGTTCTGAACGTCAGTCCGTTCATCGCTTGTCACGATCGGCTTTTTCTCTCGAGCACCCAACGAGCCGGCCCGGATTTTGGCTTGCCGGCGAGCAGAGTCTTTTGGCTACAAACGGAATATCGGCCATGGTCTCGGTGGTAGAGTGCCGATAGCCACTCTATGAGCAGTGTACAGCAGGTCGTGTCGTACACTTGCTTTGCAGCGGCCTCGTGGCAGGTGCTCCAAGCCTTCGAAGTCTTGAAGTCCTTGCCTCCTTGATTCTTGATTTTGAAAAAAAAAAAAAAAACGGGAACTACTTCCCAGAGAGAGGAACTTCCAGAAAATCAAAGGGCGTCGTCAGGAAGTGTGAGGATTTCGACCAATCAGAGCTCGAGTTTGATTTTGATTTTTTGTGTTTGATTTTTGGCGCTTCGCTAATATGCGGCCTAAGAAACGTCAAAATCGGGTCGAGGCTCCATCCCTTGTTGTTGTTTTTGTTGTTGTTGTTGTTGTTGTTGTTGTTGTTGTTGTTGTTGTTGTTGTTGTTGTTGTTTCTGTTGTCTTCACATTGAAAACCGTTCCGATCTCTCTCTGCCCAGTACCTTCGTATGTCCGTACTGATACAACACTCGACGCGGTCGATTCCCGTGGTCGCAGGCTAACTTACCCTAAAAAGGTACACTCAAATAAAATGGCCCCGAGGGGTCCGCAAGTCAATAGAAATCAACGACAGATATTCTGGAGTCCTCTACTCCCTCTGCGCGCTATGCGAGGTAACAACTGAGACTAGGATTCACCATCACGGGTCGGAGAGAATGAGGTACACCCCCTTGGTTCAATCTTGGTACTTCACAACGCAAGCAGAGACAAGGCCATCTGGCACAGAAAAAGAGATAAAAAGAGAAAAATAGAAGAAAATATAAGGAAACAGTAAGGAAAGAGAAAATAAAATAAAAAGAGCGAGGACAAAAAGGGACCAAGCCGAAAATAACAAGAAATAAGAGACAGAAAAAGGC